AACACATATATAGAGAATTAAAAAAAAAATGGTCCTGATGAACCTAAGGGCAGGACAGGAATAAAGACACAGACGTAGAGAATGGACTTGAGGACACGGGGAGGGGGAAGGGTAAGCTGAGACAAAGTGAGAGAGTAGCATCGACATATATACACTGCCAAATGTAAAACAGATAGCTAGTGGGAAGCAGCGGCATCGCAAGGGGGTGATCAGCTCGGTGCTTTGTGATCACCTAGAGGGGTGGGATAGGGAAGGTGGGAGGGAGATGCAAGAGGGAGGGGATATGGGGATGTATGTATACATATAGCTGATTCACTTTGTTATACAGCAGAAACTAACACAACATTGTAAAGCAATTATACTCCAGTAAAGATGTTTAAAAAAAGAGAAAGATTATTTCCAATAAGCACAAAATAATAGATAGAAAGAAATACAATTTCCTGCAAAATAGATGACCATGGTATATTTGGGGAATTACATATCAGAAGAAAAACAGGTAAAAATTACAAAAGATGGTCAAGGAAATCTAACCTTAAATGGTAAAGAAAATGATAATATGTTGAAGTTTAAAGAGAAGTAAATAATAAAAATGTATTAAATAATATCTGTTTACCACACTGAGTAAAATAAAGAGATACGAGAGACCATGAAAATTATCAGAAATATCTAGGTCTAAATATAATCACATGGGATCTTAGACAAGTAGGGATGATTTTTTCACAAACATCTTTTCTCATTTCCCCTTGCTCTGGAAATAAATCTAAATATAGTTTCTTATTCCTTTTTCTCTTTTTCTTCTCTCCTGTTAAAAAACTCCTCTCCTGACCTTTACTTCATCCTAGTGTTTATCCTTTCTTTACCTTCATTCCCATTATGGACACAGACTCTGAGGAAACTAGCTTAAAATGCAGCGTGTGAGGGTTAAGTAAACCACTGGGAATAATTTCTTTCCAGGGAGATCTACTAAGTATTGAAAGAATTGGGTGGAAATCCTTGAATCTCTTCTCTGGAGATCTCTTTTTCAGAGATGATTTAAAATATTGTACTTACAATGGGAAGATCATCTTTCTATTGTCTCTCTAACAAATGAACCCGCTTTATCCTCAAAATATTTTTTTATAAACTAAAATGTGGACTCTGAGTAGGGCTCTGTTTTGTCCACTGCTACATTTTTGCAATTTAAAATAGTGCATATAGGAAGCACTCAATAGATATTTCTTGAATGAATTAACAAACCTTTAGGATGATGTTTCTCCATTAAGTCCATCTTGAATTTCTTAAACCTTTATGGTTTGTTCACCCTCCACTGTTCCTGCCCTGTCAGGCTGACAGTACCCTCTTCTCCCACAAACCCACGTACACACATACCAGAAAGCAAGAAGCGATATATCAATTCTACTAATTCCACAGCATGTCAGCAACCCTCTTTGCTTATGTATTTGTTTTGGGGTTACCTGTCTGCGGTCTTGAGTGGTCAATTCCCTCTTTTGTAAGTTTACCTCCCTATGATTATGTATATTTTATAGATATTTTACCCATGCAACAAGCCATTACTGAGTTCTGGCCATGGACCAGAAATTATGCTTGTTTGGTAGACATAAATTTAGATAAATCACAATGTTATTCCAATAGTTGTTTTTATACTTGATAAGAGGAGATACTTGTGATAATTCAGTGTGTCACATTCTATAATAAGGTCAAAATGTGTACTTTATTAACTTGGCTGGTAAAGATGTATAGTTTTTAATTATGACTCTCAACATTACTAGTGTTTAATAAACATTTATCAGAGAAATACTAATAGAACAGCTATTCTAAAATTTATGGACCAATGTATAATAATACAATTCAAACGTCAAAATGAATCATCTACTTCAAAAATGTTCACAGGTGGCATTTAATTTATATTCTAAGTGAAAACTATAACAATTATAAAATTTGAGCAAAATGTTTCAAAACTATCAAGTTTTTGAGTTTTTACGTATATATTATCTTATTTATTTCTAGTCCTTAATTCTAGAAGATAGATTTATTCTTGAAAACTTTGTTTATAAAACAAAAATATAAAGTAAGGCAAAATTTAACATTTTACTTACATCACACAGTAAGGTCATAATGAATTTATGGTGAGATCTGCATTAATTAAAATTGATTTCTTTGACTAGTTATCTAGATTTAAAGAAAAAATTATCATTGCTACACATTTAATAACAGGGAGACTACAGAGGCAAAAGTTTTCTTTCTTATATATTGGTACCAATGGCTGCATTAAAACTTTAAAGTTACAGGGGAATAATCACAAAATGGAAAGTTATAGAAAATTATGAGGAAAGAAAATTTTGATGACTCATAAGAACAGGTTTTGTTATTTCTTTTATAAAAGTCTTACACCCTTAGTAATTGTCTTGATGACTGAATACTAGCCATTGGGAAGATTTCTACAAACTGCTAAACAAAAATTACCATTAAGTCACAGAAAATGCACAACACAAAAAAGTATTTCAAATGTGTTTGTTACTTTCAAGGAGCTAGATTACATACCACACCTTGGGGCTAAATGTACTAAGTAGCGTAGACCTTCAATATATTCTCAGGTGTTTTGACATGTAGTTATTACATCATTTGCCTTCAAGGTGGAAGCAGAGAGGCTTAGGAGGAGCTTTGACTCATGTAATCGTAAGAGTCATGTGCCACTTTGCAGGTCAGCAAAGCAATATGAAGTGTCTCCTACTCTCTAGTAGATCAAAGGTCATTTGGTGTTTTCATAATTTTAGCTAACAATAAAGTCCCTGCCATTAGAATCAGAGTTTACATTTTTCGATCCACTAGCAAACAATGGGCTAAAATACATGAGAACATTTATCAAATTGAGCATGATCCCAGAGTGACCCCTTTAAAGAAGCCTTCTTCAAAGCATTTATAACAGAGGTCATTATCAGATTACCTGTGACTCAGGGTATTATATCAATGTTCAGCTTCTGGAAAATTCTGATAACTTGGGGGCAGAGGCTGTGTCCTCCATGTGCTCATTAAACAAAGTTACAGTGACCTCTCTGATTACCCTCTAGGCACGCAACTGCACCATTTTCCCCTGCCTCTCCTTCAGTGAACTGCAACAAATGCCATGGTGCTGGAGGGACCAGTGAGCCAAGAATGAACCATCTCACTATGGAAAAATTTAAAAAAACACAGAAAGGTCCATTGGCTTGCCTATATCAAAATATTTTACTCCAGTGGTTAAACTGTAAAATTGCAGGGGTATCTACATCTCACTTGAGGCTTTGCCCCACAGGGTTGCAAAGCAGCAGTTAAAGAGAGAAAAATAATCTCCTCCTAACAGCTCTCAACAGCTCTCCTCCCACCGACAAACTACACACACACACAAACACACGCACATTCATATGCACACTCTTAACTCCTGCCACTCCCCTATTCTTGAGTGATCTTTTCCTTGCTCCCATTCAAGTTTCATTTCCTCAATTCTTCCTATAAAAAAGGAAAAGTTCTCTGATAAACTAACTCAGAAAAAGGCGATCTTAACAATGTTTAAAGCTATTCATATTTGCATTTTAAAGAGTGTTCAAAAATAGTTAAATATTAATTTTTTTCACAGATGTTAGTTAAAAATGTGAATTAGTATCTCAGGTATTGTTTGTTTCTTCAAAAAATTATATTGGATGCTCACTTTGTCCAAATACTGAAAAATACTGAGGACACAACAGTGAGCTAAAAGGCCATGCTGGTTGCCGCCACAGAGCTTACAGTCTAAAATGGGATATGGAAATTTATCACAAAACTATTCACTACAAGTGAAACAAGAGCTACAAAAGAGAATGTTTATGGTGCTATGGGACTGAATCAGGTAGAATCTGAAAGCCTACACTAAAATGTGAAGACTGAGATGAAATCTGAAGAAATAATAGGAGGTAAGTGGATTAAAATGCTTGTAGCTCATGGACTTGAAGAAAGCCGTTTATGTTGAAGTCCAGAGTAAGAAAGAGCTTTGTACATGATGAGACCAGAGATCCAATCATGCAGGACATCCACAGACAGGGTGGCCATGTAGATTCGTCATGCAAGCCAAGGCACTTTTCAAAGTGAAAAGGGTTTCTACTAATAACATTAGGAATAGTTGGGTTACCAGTTACCGAGTGACTGGAGACTTATAGTCATCCTATTCATAGGGGATCCTAAAGTATTAGGCTTTACCATAAAGGCAATGAAGAGGCCCTGAAATTTTTAGCAGCAAGGAAACAGATCTGAACTTGCATGATACTTTGCCCCCACTGTGCAGAATGGGTAAGAGGGGGACTACTACAGTCACCACATAAGATATGGATAGATGGTAATAACATTCATTAAATAGGATATAGAAAAGAAGCCTCTTTAGGCTGAAGTCATGGGTGGGAAGAGGGTACCTAGTTCTACTTATGGTCCTATAGAGTTCAGAATATGTTTGAAGGAAGAAATCATGTAAAATGAGTTAAAAATAAAAGTGTTTCACAGAAGAGAAATCAGAGTTGGAGATATAGATCTCTGAGTCATTTGCATATCAATGGTAATGAAGGCATGCACATGGATATTGCCTAGAGGGAGTTTAAACTGAGGAAGATAGGAGAGGAAAGACAAAACCTTAAGGTACTTCAGCTTGAGGATGGATGGTTACAGGAGAATGAAACTGCAAAGAAGGCTGAAAAAGAGCTGTCTAAGTGGTATAGGAAAACTAGGAGAGGATGATGTTATGGAAGCAGAGGTAAGAAAGCAGTTGAGAGAGGAAACAACAGTGATGACAAATCACACCGATAAAATAAGGTGAGAACTGAAAAAAATGTTATTTGATTTATCAAAATGGAGTTTAAGGGCATGGATTTGGTAGCAGATTACCCCAGTTAGAATCCCACCTCCTTCATTTACTAGCTAGGTATACTAGAGGAAGCCACCTAAACTCTTTGCCTCAGTTTTCTCATTTGTAATACAGGCTGTTTTGAACAGTGCTTATCGAAGTGTGCTCTGTGGACACGTGGGGTTTCCAGAGGCACTTTGAGGAGATTTGTGAGATCAAAACTACTTTCATAATAGTGTTAAGACGTTATTTGCCTTTTTGACTGAGTTGACTTGCAAAAGCCAAGGAGGTAGCACTAAAATGTATTATTACCATTGTATTCTTCTCCACAGTTCACTTGCAGGTAAAAGAAAAAAGTCAATTTCCTATAAGAATGTTATCGATGAACCAGTAAAAATATTAATTTCAATATATTTTTATCTTTCATATTATATAATGAAATGTGTAAATATTGCCAAGTCATATTATATAATGAAATATGTAAATATTGCCAAGACCTATGTATCTCAGTGAACCAACATTTTCCAAATGCCTAATGCATAATGTTCCAAAATTCTACATAGGTAAAAATAACCATTTGATGTTCAAAATACTCCAGTGTTCAAATGTAGCAGACTATGAAAAATTTATTGACATGATTTTGAATCCAAAACTGAAATAACCTTTAGGTTATTAAAATAGTCCTCCCTTTTCCAACTAGATATCTCAGTGAGGCTGGAATTTCTTCATATGATTCCTAAACATCATATCACAACAGATTGAATGCAAAAGAAGATATGAGAGTCTAGCTGCCTTTTATTAAATCAGTTATTAAAAAGATTTGAAAAATATAAAAGAATGCCACTTTTTTCACTATATTGCTTTTGTGCTGGAAAATATTTTTATTTTCATTAAAAGTTAGTTATGTTACTTTACAATGGCTTTATTATTGTTGTTAAACTAATTACTAAATAAATATTTCAGGTTGTCTCAATTTTATTTTAGAATATGAAAAATGTCAACATATTAAGCCTAAATAAGCAATACTCAAATCTTTAATAATTTTAAGAGTAAAAAGTGATTTTGAGACACAAAGTTTGAGAATCACAGGTTTTGAGGATAAAATAAGGTAACTTAAAAAGTATGAGTTGAGGAGTTAGCGACAGGGAGGGCAGGGGGCCTGGGCTTAGTATTGGGGGAGGAGGTGGCCAGTTTAGGGTCTTAGGGGACAGGTGGGGGAGATGGCAGAGTTAGATGGGACTCGGGGGGTGGGGGGTGCCAGGAGAAGGAAGGTTGAAGGGGAGACTAGATGTTGGGGGAACTGTGCTGGGAAGAGGTGCGTCGGAAGTGCCCACAGTAACCCGCAGTAACCCGGGCGTCGGACAACACCCCAGGCCTGGCTGTCGCAGCTGCCTGCTGGAGAAGGGGAGCCTGACCTCTAGGAGGGCGCCGCTCCCGTGTAGGCTGAGCGGCCCCCAGTGCCCTGGTTTGTATGGAAGGAGGAAGGCAGAGAGACAGGAGGAGGAGGCTGATGGTCTCGCGGCCCTTGCTGGAGACACACTTGGGCAGTCGACAGCCTGAAAATGAGCAGGAAGGAAGGCAGTGGCGTACAGGGACGCAGATGGGCAGGGAGGGCAGAACCTGAACTTGTCAATACCAGCAGCCCCCTTTTTTTCCAGACAGAGGGTTGTGAACCCGCCTGGGGATGAGGCCTGGTGTTGTGGATACTGAACTTAGCTTTGTGGGGCTGACAGTTCTGGCCCAGAGCGGTATGTAATTCTGGCTCTGCCTGGGACAGGGTCCAGCCAGGCCCAGCTGGGTGGAACCCAGATCTGGGTGTGAGGGTGGTCTAGGGAGTGATGGAGGTCAGGTGCCACCCTGAGCGGTTACTGGTATGGCGCCTGGTGTATCTGACAGGCGGGAGCTGTAGGCAGACAAAATTGACGCCCACTTTATTTTCCAGGTGGCAGTGCACCCCTTTGGACTTTTCCTCTAGGTCCCATGCTTACCTCTTCTGTGACCTCACTCTGCCCCTCCTCCTCCCTCTAACTCTCTCAAGGTTACCCCTTCACTTAAAACATTGCTTCTGGTAATCTGGTAAGCCGGGAAAGTTGCTGGAGTCCCTGCCGGAGTCGGTATCGTCGGTAATCCCGAAGGAGGAGAGGCGTCCCCAGCGGAGACTCTGGGTGGGCGGGTTGGTCTTACTTGCCGGTGGAGAGGGTGGGGATTGAAGGGGCACCCTTGGGTGGGCCCACAGCGATGGTACCAGCTGAAAGCTACAAAAATACTTCGTAGACCGTGGTTTGTTACTATAGTGTTCATCATGGCAAGCTGGTGGCACCAGGAGAAATGGAGCCCCTGGCCAGTGTGAGTCGTAGCAGTGCCGGAGGGGAGACCCTGGAGGAGGAGAGAGCCCGCCTAAATTGGTGTCTACAGATTGAATTTCCAGAGGCTTAGGAGGAGGAGTTCTCCAATGTCCTGTTTCCAGGCCTTGCTCAGGAAGCCCTGTATTCATTCAGGAGACCATCTGTTAAGGTTTTCAGATGAGCTTATGAGGGGGCAATCTTTAAAAGTCCAAAGCATTCGGGGCCTTCAGCAGATGTGTTGCTTCAGCAGATGTGTGTAATCCAGGAGAAGTGATCTCTGGGCACGTGAATGCCAGCAGGCACCTCTCCTGTTCTGGGGTGGAGGCTTTCAGATGCTGCATCTTCTAAATTCAGTCTCCTGTTGTACTAGTTCTGTGCTACGAACCTTGCTTCCCGAGGACTCGTAAGCTGTAGAACATTTTAACGCGATGCCACAACACAGAGTGCTGCCTTGTAGACGGAGGAGCTTGCAGATGGATCCCCGTGACCCTCTCACCTACCCGCCCGCCTTCCTGTGCATTGGTCGGAGGAATTCTTAGTGTGATGATATAATCTGTGTGTTGGGAAAGTGTTCAAGATTGAAATGCCTTAGGCAAATACTTAAATAAGCCAACTGGCAAATTGAGGGGGGTCATTGTACTGTGCTGGAGGTACGAGTTGGTCATGCCCAAATTGTGATAGAAATGGCAGGTCTAGTTTGGGCATTCCTACTAAGAAGGGAGTGGTCAGGATGCCGATAGTGATCTTTGATTCATCTTGCTCTATGTGTTTTTTAACTTCAATTTTACTTGATCAGATTTCAGAGTAATCTTTTTTTTGTTTGTTTTTTGTTTTTTGCTTAACATCTTTATTGGAGTATTATTGCTTTACAATGGTGTGTTAGTTTCAGCTTTATGAGAAAGTGAATCAGTTATACATATACATATGTTCCCATATCTCTTCCCTCTTGTGTCTCCCTCCCTCCCACCCTCCCTATCCCACCCCTCTAGGCGGTCACAAACCACCGAGCTGATCTCCCTGTGCTATGCGGCTGCTTCCCACTAGCTATGCATTTTACGTTTGGTAGTGTATGTATGTCCATGCCACTCTCTCACTTTGTCACAGCTTACCCTTCTCCATCCCTGCGTCCTCAAGTCCATTCTCTATGTCTGCGTCTTTATTCCCATCTTGCCCCTAGGTTCTTCATGACCCTTTTTTTTTCTTAGATTCCATATATATGTGTTAGCATACGGTATCTGTCTTTCTCTTTCTGACTTACTTCACTCTGTATGACAGACTCTAGGTCCATCCACCTCACTACAAATAACTCAGAGTAATCTTAGTGTTCAAATGGGAGGACCCTGAGGTGAGGGGTGGTGGGGAGGGAAAAGCCTGCCGCAGGTGCTGGGAGGGGTGGGAGTGAAGAAAGGGAGAAGGGGGGAGGGTTGTGGTTAGGTGTAGGTTGTAGAGGGTGGGAGTGGTAGGGAATGTGGGTTGAAGGGAATTCTCTGGAGAAAAGATCAGTAGGCAGAGCTCTGGGGAATTATATAGAGCTCATGGGCGAAGAAAATACTAGTTAATAGTAAATTGTTAATGCTAGTTAAATTATCACTTGGAAGCACAAAAAAAAAAAGTGGCTTGGAAACTTTCTAAAATGCTTAGAACTCTGCTAAGTGCAGGGGACAAAGCAAAATTGTTTTGCTTTGCTGCAAGATGGGGAAGACTGAAAAGGTAACTGAAGACCTGGTTATCGGTGGCTTGAAAGATTGGTGTCAGAAACTTGCATCAGGGCTTCCCTGGTGGTGCAGTGGTTGAGAGTCTGCCTGCCGATGCAGGGTACGCGGGTTCGTGCCCCGGTCCGGGAAGATCCCACATGCCGTGGAGCGGCTAGGCCCGTGAGCCATGGCCGCTGAGCCTGCGCGTCCGGAGCCTGTGCTCCGCAACGGGAGAGGCCACAACAGTGAGAGGCCCGTGTACCGAAAAAAAAAAAAAAAAAAAAAAAAAAAGTATGAGTTAATTCTCATAAAGTACTTAGAACACTGTCTCAAAATTCTTTATAAGTGTTGATAAATAGAGATAGACAGGTAGATGATAGATTAGACAGATAGATAAGTAGACAGACAGATAGGCAGGTAGAGAGACAGATACACAATAATTGGTTAAATTAACTGAAGTGTTTTGGGTAAATACGGAGATGGAAACCAGATTGAAATATATAGGAAAGAGGGAGATATTTTGGAAATACAAACATCACCCATAGGCAAAGTTATTTTCTGCCTCCTCTCGAATTTGATCCTGTATGAAAATACTGATGTGTTACCCCACTTACTATCCTATAGATGTGACCTGACACCTTTTATAAGGAGACACAGGAGAAAAAAATCAATGAAAGAAAACTAAAGGCTTGATAGAGCAGTGTGATAGAGACAGAAACTTCAATGAGAATTCCATTAGGCAAGTTAGTGCTTCAGGGAAGGAAAAACACCTGAAAAACAGAACTTAGATACTTAATTTTAAAATAAAGACTCCTAATCTGATTTTCTCTGTGAGAGAAATCTGCTTCTTCTCTTTATCCTAAAAGAGTCCTTAAATATGCCAGCTGTTTATAGTTAAAAAGAAAGTCACATAGACAAAAAGCCTCTTTCTCATTTCTACAAGTCAAAGGTTCATCTGAAAATCCATCAGAATAGTTTAAAGAAATGTGAAACCCTGTGAAAAGAAGATGGTTCATGGTAAATGATAAATGCATTTATGGAGGCAGAAGGTCATATATTAATTATATCTTTGGCAGCCTGGAACTTTAACACACGTCCTTAACATGCCTTCAAGGAGTACGAGTGAGAAAAAGGAAAAGGACAGTGGTCCTTAATTTTTTTGTTGGAAAGGAGGTCATTTTTCCATTATGAATCTAGTGTTAGATATGGACACTCACCCCAGAAAAACGTGCATGGACCCAGTCTTCTAACATACAATCAAGGGACTATACAACCTGCCTAAAGACCATCCATGGACTTTCCAAAAGATGATGGATCCCAAGTTAGGAAATGCTGGAATCAGGGAAAGTAATTTAGGAGTAAAAATGACACTTCCTAGCACCATTCTCCATCAAGTTGCTCTAGATTTTTAACACACCAAAACCAGTCTTCTTTGTGCCTGGCATATAGATGAGGCTTAATAAAGGAATAAAACTGTATTCATGGAAAGAAGCACTCATTTAGCCCAGCTTCCTTACTTCACATAAGTGATAATTAAAATCTAGAGACATTAAAATTTTCGCTCAGTTACAAAATCAATCAGAGAACTAGCTGACCCTTCTCACATTCGAGTCGTTTTTCCCCAGCTCTCTTGGAAACGAAGAGTTACATCCGCTCAACGTTGTAGAAGATTAGTGTCCACACACTGTTGGATTCCAAATCTAGGGATATACACTATCAAAATTGGAAGACTACATAGTAAGGTAAGGGAGATGTTTTATTTTGGGAAACTAAGAATAGAATTGTAGAATAAAAGTTGATGAGACACAATTAAACAGCATCAGTTGCATCCACAAAGTGTAGAAAACATCTTAGGAATGCATCATACATGGTAAAGGCGCATATGGGTTGAATCGGTTATGAATACAGTTCAATATATTAGTTGGAAATACAGTTATTCACAACTGTAATCATATGATTACAAACCCCCTTGTATCTGCCAAAGTCACAGAAGGAAAGATATTATAACAAAAGGGGTAAGGGAGGAGCACTTACGTAAGGGACTATTTACAGACTCTGGATAGTGTTAAGGTAAATCAAGAAGAGATGATGCACCATGCCAGGGCTGGCAATGTGGAAAGTCATTACACTCTTTAGGACTGAAAGAGCAGCTGCTGTAAAGGAAGGCAGTAGAGGGGGAGGTGTGGGAATAAATGCCCCTGCCTCACTCTCCTTTCACTCTCAAATCTCCTACCAATGACTTATTTGGCCAAATCAGAAGCCAGAGGTCAAGGGTACCCATTCACGCAGTTGAAAATGATTAACCTCTCAGGCCACAGAACTAGGTGAGAATGACAGATCTGGAGGGATAAATAGAGAATATCTGGAAAATCCCTAGAACATATGGTTGGCTTCTCACAAGCTGTAGGAAACTCAGAGCTGTTCCTTGAGCACCCACGAAGTTCTGTGCATAAGACCACATATTTCTAGATCTCATATCTCTAAGGGGAGCCACTGAACAGAGGGAGCAATTGACTCCCATATTCAATTTACACTAATGCAGCCAATATCAGAAATCACCTTAAACTAATGGGCTATGGAAGAAATACAAGGATCTCATTCTGTGTTTCAAAATCTAACTTCACCAGGCAAGGTGAAGAGATCAAAAAATGCTTCCTAAGGAGACGTTGCCTGAAGGAATAATGTTCAGCAATGTAGTGCCCATGAGGAACTCCAGATGGTAAAGCTAAAGTAATCAATTGATGAGGGAGGGGAAGAAACAACCCCCAAGATTATTGCTTGCTACTTCTCAAAAGGGGTCACACAGTTATTGGCCAGTAGCCCCTCAGAATAGCTTTCTGCTAAGGATGCTGGGAGTTCAAGACTAATAAGGGAAAGTCTTTGGAAGCAGCTAACAGAACTATAATACTCGGCTGTAACACTGAGGGAAAATTTTGCCTAAAAAGTACCCAAAGCCTAAGGCAGCCAATAATGCCTGGAATAAAAGATATAATGCAAGGAGGCATCTGATTCTGTGCTGGGGATAAGAAAGGCTTTAAGCCCACAAGGTACTGTGCACATTCCTATCCCTCCTACCCCTTGCCCATTCTTGGGGTACACAATAATTTGTAATAGGAATGTAACCTTTACTGTTTGAATATCTCCAGCAAGAGGACAAATGCTGCCCCAAAGTCTCTTTGAACAAAGAGGAAAAATATTAGCCTCTCAGTGAATCAGAAACCTAAAGGGACACTGAAGTCAATCTTCAGATTGTCAGTAGTAAGAGGTACATGAAAGAGGTTTATATTTCACTTCACTTTATAATCCTGACCTTAGTCAAAATAAATTTTGATATTCAAACTGAAGCATAATCCCTGATTGCTATTCTTACTTTAAACTTGAATAACCTCAGTAAATTGTGCAGACAGGTGCTTAATGAAGCCTATATTTATAAAACAATATTTTTCTTCACAGGAGTATGGACTCTAATACATCTCTTCTAATTGGAATCAAGTTTCCTGATCAGAGCTCCTCT